GAACATTATGTTCCTTTCAGCAGCTGTGCATTTCCTTTTTTTTTTTAAATTTGTTTCTTATAATAATATACACATGTAATTTTTTTTTAAAATAACCATGACTTAGCCTAAAAATGGTTGTGAGGGAAAGTTTTAAAGTAATGGTGATATTGACAGTATCATCAGTCGAGTGCTACATGGTCTAAAAATATGGGCTTGCATCATATACCTGGGAAGCGATTTTAGCGTAGTGGCTATGTGCTCGCCTGCCAGCTTGAGGGGCTTGGGTTCTTCTTCTTTACATTCAGTTTCTTATGCTCAGATCAGACCATCAGGTGGGTTACCTCCATGAACTCGCATGTCCTTCATGGTTCCCCATAGCTTGCTGTGCACACTTTGCTCTTGAGGCCATGTGTCTTTTTGAAGTTGCATGTAGAGTGGGCAGGTCTGCAGAATGTGCTCAAGTGTTTGTGGTCCTGTTTGACAAGCACACTGTGGGAACTGTACAATCTTCTTTTCATGCTTGTGGTAGTTGAGCCTGCAGTGTCCTATTAGTAGAGGGAAAATTGTTGTATGTTGCTTACTGTTGTCTGCTGAAGGGGTCTTGTGGATGTTTACTGTTGGTTTGTTCTCTCCACAATTCCTTGTATTTTCCCTTGAAAAATCTTCTGATTTCTGGTAATGACAATGAATGGGTGTGTTATTTCTCCTGTGTTCAATTTTTTGCAAGTATGTCTGCTAACTCATTTTTTGGTATGCCACAGTAAGCTGGGATCTACTGGAGAACAGTTTGATTGATTTCTGTGAGTCTGTTTAGCTGACGGGTCAGTTCTCTTTCCATGTTGTCTCGTGGATCCCTGGAGGAGTGACAGTCACAAAGGAAAACAATTCTGCTGTTTTTAATTTTGCTTGCTGCTCTGCTCTGAAGTTTTTTGAGAGTGTCTTGGATTCAAATTTGCATCCAGTCTGTTTTTTTTTCTTATTTGACTTGAGCTCCCAGATCAGCCTAGACTAAATTGGTTACCAGTTACTATCATTGGAAGCATAAGCCCCCAGCATGCTTGTGACCTAACCACCCGCTAGGCATTGATGGGGCTATACAAATCTGAGTCAAGCCTCATATGTCCGATGTAGCACTGGTAGGCATATAAGAGATCCTTTACTTTTATTTTACCTGACTCAAAATTATTGTTTTTATAAAACAGTGTTGAAAACTGTTCTTTCTTACTTGATTGAAGCCAGGTTGTTATGTAAAATATCATCACCATCAGGTGCCCTGCCAGCTGGCTTAGGCATTCATGTATCTCCACAGATCTCAGTCTTTGGTGTTCTGGATCAATTCCACTGATGATATTCCTTCATGCCACTGACTTAAGCCATTCACCATTATTTTTTCTTAGTCTGCCTCTGCCTATTCTATCAGTGATCTTTCCAGCTGTCATGATATTTTCCAGTGCTCCTCTTCTCATCACATGACCAAAGACCTTATGACCTTATTTGTCTCCTTTTGATTGTTGTATATAATTTTCTACTTTCATTAGCCATTTCCAGGCAGTCATTATTAGTTATTCTTGACAGTCCGTGGTATTTGCGACATTCTTCTCAAAAACCATATCTCAGTTGCCTCCAAACTCTTCCTAATTTGTTTGCTCACTTTCCAAGATTCACTGCCATACAACAGAACAGGCTCGATGTAACATTTAAGTACTCTTTTTCTGATGTTTAATGAGGGTGATTTATTACATAAGATCCTTTTCATTTATTGAAATGTTTGCCTTTGCCTGGCCAATTCTGCTCGTAATTTCTGTTGCACATCGTCTATCTGATTTCTTGAATGTCCCCAAATAGTTGAATTTTTCGACTTGGCTAAGCACTTTCCCTTCTATTGCTATGTCACATTTTGGAGTTATCTTGTTCTTTAATATGACCATTGTGTCTTTTTCTTGACATTCAAGGAAAGTTCCTTTCCTGCACTCTCTAGTACCAAAACTAATAGTTGTAGATTTTCTTTGTAAAAAATATACAAATAATTAAATGAACTGCGTCATCTATGGTGAATTCAGTTTTTAAAAAAAACAATGTTTGTCTCATAACTCTTTTAGTGCCACCAACTCATCATCTGTTTACTTGTTACACATTAAGTTTTGTTCATATCCCTGTCTCACGCAGTTATCTTAACCCTGTGTAACCCATTTTTTATTTTTAGTTCTTATGGCTTAGTTTTTGCAAACACGGCTTGTAATTCCAGGATACCCAGTTCAGTGCTAGCTGTCGGCGATTTGCCAGCAGACCCCTTTGCATTGATTTTAACAATGGTAACAAGAGCTTACAGTTCAGAGGCAATGATCAGCTGTACCACTAACTTTTGTTACACTAAATTATTTTGTTAAACACAGATGTTACTAGTAGTGTTTAGACATGTGATATTAATTTAAAGTAGCAACTATTCCGGGCAAAATAAATTAAACTACCCAGTACTGACATAATTAATCTTCTCTTTATTATTCCTCATATGCTTTGTCTGGAGTTGAAATTTGCTATCATGACACTGAAATCGTCTCTGCGATCTTATATTTTGATGAAGTTGGTGTCATTTGAGGACTGGCTGGCCAAACAGCATGAAAGCAGGCTCTCCTGCTGGAGACCCTTGTTCAAATCCTCTGAAAGGTTTATGATTTTGTTTTTTTCTGCCTGAGCAAAAATCCTAAACTGCACAGTCCGTGGTGATAGCTCTAGCTATGGGGTTCTACTAAATCCGCAGGCTCTAAGACATCTGCTGTTAATGCCACAGAAGTGGTCGATACAAGCAGTTCTTTGGCAGATGTTGATTCTGTTATTTTTTTTTTTTTTTTTTTCCAACTCTAAAGATATCTATCTCCTTTACCCTTTTTATTTGTTATCATATTTCTGTGTTTAGTCTTGGGAAATTAATATGCTAGTAAATCATCATCCTATGCCATGCAATGCATAGTCAGTCATGATTCACCTTCACTGACGATCAGCAAAATCACAGTCTGGTCAGTTTTTCCTCAATTTACTGGCTGTCACTGAGTTTTCGAGAGTTCATTGCTTATGTTCAGAAAGCAACACTATGTCTAATATATTATGTCAGCAGTTCTAAATTTGCTTCTAGAAGAACTGCCTCATTTTTAGTTATTATTATATGCTAGCGCCCGTTATTTGCATTTTTTATCAGAAACTAAATTTTCATTGCCACGAGATGTTTTTTTTCCTTCTACTTCTTTGTGGTACTCTGATGAAATGTTCTGATTGTTTGTCCACTTCTGAACTTTTGTTTTGTTCCAGAGCTTGAGTTTTGCCTTCACATCCGTTTAACAGTTCTAAGTTACTTGTATGTAGAATGTTAACTCCTTGCCTTTCGGGCAGATACACATCAACACACCCCCCACTCCATTTATTCACCTTGTAGGTCTGTTCTCCTTCCCCCCTTTGCCAAACCCACATGAGTGATTAGATGTTTACAGCTGGAATCATGAATTATCTTGAAGAAAGTAGTTTGCCATTGCATTCTTTCTTGACAGTGACCATGCAGGTTGAATTACTATATCATTGTCACTATAGTGTGATTCTCTCTCCACCTCTGGGGAATTTGAGACTGTTACCAACTTTCTGTCCACTGTTCTGGAGCTCAGTCAACCACCTACTTCCCTCCCTAGTTGCATGTTAGTTTAACAGGGGCAGGTGGTAGTAAATAGAGGAGAATAAAAAAATGCCTCTCTCCCGCACATACATATGACATTTCTGTAACATATATCTGTTTGTGTTACAGAAATATCACATACAATTTTTAGAATACCACAAACCAAAAAGAAGAAAAACCTCTATATTCTACGTGATCTGAACATCCAGGAGACATTTACTGATAAACTGCATCCTGTCCCGAAAGCCGAGATATTTTTATTGTCATGGTGTCCCACCGTAATTCTAAGTGGGGGGGGGGGGGAGTAGAGGAAGCTGGGGTGGACTTTGGGTACAGTTTCCAGAAAATGAGACAGAACCGGGCAGGTGGAAACCAGAAATGGAAGATGCATTGGCTATGAAAGCACATAGGGCTGAATGGAGTACTGGCTAGAGAAAGAAGGACTTGCATGCGTGCCGTCAGGAGAACTGAAGGACTTGCAGGCGTGGCGTGGGGAGAACAGGAGGACTTGCAAGCGTGGCGTTGAGAGAACAGAAGGACTTGCAGGCGTGGCGTGGGGAGAACAGAAGGACTTGCAGGCGTGGCGTGGGGAGAACAGAAGGACTTGCAGGCGTGGCGTGGGGAGAACAGAAGGACTTGCAGGCGTGGCGTGGGGAGAACAGAAGGACTTGCAGGCGTGGCGTGGGGAGAACAGGAGGACTTGCAGGCGTGGCGTGGGGAGAACAGAAGGACTTGCAGGCGTGGCGTGGGGAGAACAGAAGGACTTGCAGGCTTGGCATGGAGAGAACTGGAGGACTTGCAGGCGTGGCGTGGGGAGAACAGAAGGACTTGCAGGCGTGGCGTGGGGAGAACAGAAGGACTTGCAGGCGTGGCTTGGGGAGAACAGAAGGACTTGTAGGTGTGGCGTTGAGAGAACAGAAGGACTTGCAGGCGTGGCGTGGGGAGAACAGAAGGACTTGCAGGCGTGGCATGGAGAGAACTGAAGGACTTGCAGGCGTGGGGAGAACGACTTTCTGTAAAAAAAACTGCTGATTGACGAGAGAGAGACGCACACACGCATGCACTCACACACACATATATTGACATACATATATTTTATAAAATAAAATAAAAATAATACAATAAACCTGAATGTCAACATAACAATTATTATAGGGGAGAAATCGTATTTTTTAATAATTAACTATTAGAATAATCTCTAAGTTTAATGAAATTTTCAAGTACAAAAATGTCCCTTTTCCCTCGGTCTAGTCTTTTCACTGCCTTGCACCAAACGTTAAACATCATTTTGACATGGAGTGAATACTTCTCATTTCTACCCATCCATTGACTCATGCCATCAGTGCATGAAACACTACTGCTAGTTAGGTCTGCGGGGCCGCCTGAATGGGTTGCGAGGGCGGGTTCCACCGCGAGTCGAATTAGAACTTCCCGCTTGGGGCTGATCACCCGCCGGACTTCTGACCTCATGCTGACACTGGGAATTGATGGCCAGGAAGAGTCCTGCTTGACATCCCCAAGTGCTGCTACCCAGGAGAACACACCGGCCACCCACACGTCTCGTCTGAAAGTAAAGTTTAACGTGAAACAGGGGAAAAATCATTAGAGAAGTTAACATGTTCAAACAAGTTCTTCCCCGCGAGGGTCCAGGAGCTCCAGTGTGGGGGGAAACAAGAATTGACTCACTGCCTTCACAACAAGGACGTCGTAAGAATCGACTGATTGAGGGCTTTCTTCGAAGTCCTAGTGCGTCTGCGTGAGAGGCGAGAAACCAGAAATCTGCACAAAAAACAGTCATCCCCATGTGGGAGGCATTTTTTCGTTATTTGAAGCCCCACCCTGTCTTTTGCCGGAGGCCCTAAATATAGCCGGACCATAAATATGGCCTAACGGCTGAACGGGGTTTCTGGGACCTCTCCATGTGTGATCTTCATCCGCATGGGTGGCACTTTGTGTCACCGGGTGTTTATCGCTTTGTTTGATTCCTGGTTGGGTACAGCTTACATATATACACACAGAAATCTGTCGGGGCCGCGTTAGCGCAGTCGATAAGAGGCTCGCTTTCAAATCTAACTGCGACTCGCTGAGCCCACGCTCGGTGTTCGAAACCAGGCGGCTCCCGGGGTTCACCCAGCCTCTAGGAAATGACACTCTGGAGTAAATGGAGGAACGTCGCTGTAGCTACAGATTTACGTGCGAACAGCGACACAGGAGGACAATTCTTATCACCAGTCCGCACTGGTGGCAGAGCACTTATGGTTTATAGCCGTGTGCATTGACACCGATTCACATCTCCCGACTTTACCTTTTTTTTCCCCTCTACACAGAAATCTGCACACGAATGAGCTTGATCTGTAAAACGGATAGGCATGCAACACTCAGGTTTGAAAAGGACTTAAGTCCAGAAGTGGATGACATACTTTTCGTAGGAGAAAGAAACCATTTCTAACACAGCGCCGCAACAATTCTCAACAAGCATCAGTGAGTCGTTGTTTCAAATCTGAAGTAAGCTGCAGTAGCACCCACCTTGCAGAAATGTTTCAGTACTTTTGCACATGATAGATGATGTGGTGTGCTGAACTTTATTTGATGTCAGTCAGTCTGCAGTTTCCCTTTACGAGGCCTTCAACGGATGTACTCCACTCTAGGGTTACTACTAGTGTGCCTGGCAACGACGGTTTTGCTGGACTGATAGGCGTGCATCACCATTCTGGACATTTCGCTCCGTGTTTGGCTGGACTGATAGGCGTGCATCACCATTCTGGACCTTTCGCTCCGTGTTTTGCTGGACTGACAGACGTGCATCACCATTCTAGACTTTTCGTTCCGTGTTTTGCTGAACTGACAGGCGTGCATCACTATTTTAGACCTTCAGTTCCGTGTTTTACTGGACTGATAGGCGTGCATCATCATTCTGGACCTTTCGTTCCGTGTTTTGATGGAGTGCAAGGCGTGCATCACCATTCTGGACCTTTCGTTCCGTGTTTAGCTGGACTGACAGGCGTGCATCACCATTCAGGACCTCTCGTTCCGTGTTTAGCTGGACTGACAGGCGTGCATCACCATTCTGGACCTTTCGTTCCGTGTTTTGTTGAACTGACAGGCGTACATCACTATTCTGGACCTTTCGTTCCGTGTTTTGTTAAACTGACAGGCGTGCATCACCATTCTGGACCTTTCGTTCCCTGTTTTGTTGAACTGACAGGTGTGCATCACCATTCTAGATCTTTCGTTCCGTGTTTAGCTGGACCGACAGGCGTGCATCACCATTCTAAACGTTTCGTTCCGTGTTTTGTTGAACTGACTGGCGTGCATCACTATTCTGGACCTTACGTTCCGTGGTTTGCTGGACTGACAGGCGTGCATCACCATTCTGGACCTTACGTTCCGTGTTTTGCTGAACTGACAGGCGTGCATCCCCATTCTGGACCTTACGTTCCGTGGTTTGCTGGACTGACAGGCGTGCATCACCATTCTGGACCTTACGTTCCGTGGTTTGCTGAACTGACAGGCGTGCATCACCATTCTGGACCTTACGTTCCGTGTTTTGCTGGACTGACAGGCGTGCATCACTATTCTTGACTTTTCGTTCCCTGTTTTGCTGGAAAAAAATCGTCACGTTCAACCAGCATCCCTGGAAAAGAAGAGGTTGAGGAGGATGAAAGCTAATAGGTTGGAACTCACCACTGGTATCTCCACGTAACAGTTGACTTGTTCAGGACTTGGTGTTGCTGGTGTGAACATCAGCAAGCTGGGGTCCACGCTGGTGTTGTGCTCCTGTAAGAAGTTCAGTAGCTGGTCATTCATTTGCCCTCTCTGTATAAAAGTCCGTACAAAAGGGTCATTCCGTAGGGGAAATATAGGGGTTGAAAAACTATTTCAATGGTCAAGAAAAATAATTTAGTAACGAGGTACTGAAACCAGTGCCATGATCTATCGGGGATATAAATTATAGTCCGTTCCAAAAATCGTACCTTACTAAATTAAAATAAAATTATAACACAGTATCAATTCGGTGTAAATTGTTGAAACCTGGCATTCAACCCTTGTATGAACATAATTCTGATGTAAACAAATATAGTGTTTATTTTGCTCGCCCCCCCTCCCCTTCCGTGTTTTGTTGTTGTTGTTGCGGTATGTAAAAGAACAGACATCGATTTCAAAGTAGTCAGTTAGCATGTTCACAGTAATAGAGTGACACGAACTTTTCGAAACATAAAATTACCCTTGTTTTAGAGATAATCCGTGCGAAAAACGGCGTTTCACTTTCATGTTGTCAGTCTCCTGCCTAAGGATTTTGTGAATTAGATGAACACAATATTTCATTGTATGCGGGATAGACTATAAAAATAACCACCACGCATCACTGTGCATGTGAAATGATTTTCAAAACAGTCTCAACGTTTGAGGTTTAAAGTAAACGATTTCTGTTAATTATTGCATAATATATTTCTATAGGTGCACACATTATAAGTCCAACAAAGATCAAATAAATTCGCCGCTTTAACAAACAGTAGAACCTGTGCCTTTGTAAATTAAAAAATCATAAGGACATGAAACAATCTAAGACCAGTTGCATTAAGTCGTCTTGATCCGTACATAAGTTTTCGAGATATTTGTTTTAGGGCACGACATTTAGACTTTTGGAAGGGACTACAACGTATGCACAATTAGACCACGCCTTAATGACAGAAACAATGATAGAAACATAAAGTAGTAACTGCAAGCCCAGCGAAAGAAACGAAACACAGATAGTAAGCATACGTGTCAGTGTTTATCAGTCAAGAGGAGGTTAAAGGTCACAACAGCAGTGATCCCACTTGTGTGTGACACCACAATGTTGTTCTACGGGGAAGCTTAAAATAAAAACTTTAAATGTGAATGTGATAGAAATGACATTGTCTTGGAATCTGTCAGTACTGTTGTTAAGGATATCAAGATTGTTAAGCATGTGACATCTCAGTGCAGACGAACACGGTGACGCAAAAATGACAGTTAAAGATGGTCACCCCACATTGAAACGAATCAAAGAGCGGCAGCGTTATGTCATCCGTTTTAGTTTTCTGAACAGTGAAGAGTGCCATAATACAATTATGTGTGTGAAGTTTGTAAGTGTATTCCAGCACTGTAAATTGTATGTTGCTGACTGAGAAGCCGCCTGGTCTGTTCCCACCTCAGTCAAAACAAAGGTAATTGTCTGCCAGTTTAGAGAGAATGCATTGCAACACAATACCATACAAAGTTAGTCGCCTTTCCTTTACATGACGTTGCAGAACCAATTCCAGCATTTTTTTTTTTTAGCTGTTGTGGTTTTTCTAGGCAAATTTTACTTTCACTAGTCTGCCATTGCTTCCTGGACGACCAAGTCTCGGTACCACTGTCGAAACCGACGTAAGACAAACTGTCCGCAGCTGTAAGACAAACTGTCCGCAGCTGGGATTGAACCCGGCACCCCGGTATTACATAGCGCATTCGCAACGCCTAAGCCACAGACGCCGAAATAAAGCATACACAAAAAGAGGAGAGTGATTTAAAAGACAAGGTCGACCAAGAAGAACATGGAAATATACATTAGAGAAACTATGCAACAGTACATGGTGTCTATAGTCGAGGTGATCAGAAGAGATCGATATATCGGTTTTTCTCCTCCAGGCTGCTTCCTAAAGTATGACCACAGCATTCTGAGATTCAGAAATCTCTGTTCTGTAGATCTCAGATACCCAGTTCAGTCTCTAAATATTTATAATTAGGACATCTGTATCGGCTACAGCAGACATGTTTAACCTGCAGACCTGTGCGGGTAAGGACATAGAAGAGCAGGAAGCAGAGCAAATTAAAGGTTTCCGTAATATCGTTTACACATGCGCGGGAGTGCACCCGCGCATACACACTTACAGCAACCTTAACTTTAGACAGCAGTTCCCTTTCTAATATTTATAAAGGAAGACGTATTACAGAAATTAAATGCAGAATATCTCAGGCTAGGGCAGCTTTTTACAAAATAAAGAATATGTTATGCAATATTTCTGTCATTCGAGACGGGAAAGAGCATTCTTACACTCTATACAAATCATATCCTGATATACGGAAGTAAATCATGGACATGTAGATTGTTGACAAATTACTTGAAAACTGCAGTGATGTAGTTTTACAAACAAATAATGAGAATGCACTGCACAGATTAAATGTTTTAAAAGAAACTGACTCACGAAGAGAACTGATTGGTCATATCGGAAAGACACAGTCTACATTCTTGGTTCATGTCATGAAAAGGAGAAAACTTGAGTACATCGTGCCAATGGGAAAGTTGGTGGGAAAGAGAGACACAGGGAGACCTTGAGAGAAGGTGCTGAGCAGTTTTACATAATGATATGGAGGATCATCAGTGTCAGAGCCAATTGAAAGTACACGAGACTGGTGTGGATAGATCGGACTATAAATGCCACACGGCATGGACTTTAAGAAGTAAATGAGTATTTATAAATTATTAGGTTATGACTCTTAAAAAACAAGTGATGTAGGTAGATTTGTAGGTGCTATAATGAAATACCGCGAGCACGCACAGACAGTCAGTTAAAGGCAACTTTCCTACAGTTTGGAGCTGCAGTGGTGTAGCAGTTAAGCGCTTGCCTGCGGATCAGAAAGTCATTAGTTCAAGTCCTGAGGGAGCCGGACTTTAAAAAAAAAAAGAAATTAACTTGGCTCCAAGATCCACCCAGCTCCAAATGAGTACCAAGAAAGGTTCTGGGAAGTAAAGCCAACCGGCGCGATGATGACCTCATCACCCACAATGGGCTGACTGGATTAATAAAATATATGTGTAGCCGTAAATGCTCTGTTCGCCCCTGGAGGCGTGGAAAAGGGTTCTTTAATTACCTTTTAATCGTGGCTTCTCTGGCTTACAGGTTAATGAATGAGCATAACAGTTTCGAGATTCACGAAAACTAAGGTTACATTTCTGCAGCTGACGGTTGAAAAGGCCCTTCTTCTGACTTTTGACAGTACAAGAGTTGCACCGTGAAAGAAATTCGAGCCTTACCACGTAATATTCCTAAAAACAGAAATAGGTGGGCACTGTAGCCAACCTTTATTGTGAAGACGGATTTGTTTTGTTCTTACCTGACGACTGCCGGCCTGTCGTTTGCCTCTTGTCTGGACCAGCATCTTCTGGTTTACTCTGGTTCCTAATACGACATCGCCTAGCAACAGAAACGCCGCCAGAACACAAAAAGTTGTGCACAGCCAGGGTACAACGGACCCCTTTCCAAGGCCTTGTACATGCATGGCCGTTGGGGTATTCGGTTCTTCTGTGTATGTCTTTCCTGTTATAATTGTGGATGTAAAAGAAACAAAAGAAATGCATGTATACATTAAAGTTAGTTGTGTATCCTTTATAAGACCTTGCACAACCAAGCCTCAGCATTTTTTTTTCTGTACGGCTTTTCTACGCATTGCATATATCCGCTCTTGAGGAGCCTGGCGTAAAAGCACTTTTACCAGTTTAAGAAAACTAGTTGCGTTTCCGTTACAGGGCGTTGCACAACAGACCCCAGCATATTTTGGCTGTTTATGATTTCACGACGCAGATTTTCATTCAGTAGTTTGCCATTGCCAACTACACTGTCAGCTCTCAATACCACTGTCAAAACCAGCGTAAGACGGTCTGCTGCCAAATCGCCTGCAGCTGTGATCGAACTCAGTACCGCGTCATTACGAAGCGCCTTTACTTAGCTGCGGGCGGTTTGGCAGTAGATCGCCTCGCGTTGGTTTTGACATTGGTATTGAGAACCGACAGTGTAGTGGGGAATGGCAAACTACCGACCGTTAAGTAAGCAACAGTAAGCAAACTACTGCAAGTAAAATCACGTAGTGAAATCATAAACAACTAACACATGCTATGGCCGGTTCTGCAACGCCCTACAATGGAAACGCGACTAATTTTTGTTTTTAATTTGTAAATTGCTTGTACGACAGCTTCTCAAAAGCTAATAACTGCTTTGCGGTTACAATCGGCGTAAAAGGCAAGAAACTTGCCTATTACGACAGTGATCCGGGTTCAATCCCCGGTAAGGGCTAGGATTTTTTCACGTGGACTTGGACTTCTAGTAATTTCGACAGGTCTCTGGGTAGTGAGGTCGGACGCCCGTGTGCATTGGTGCGCACGTAAAAAAAAAACAACTTGCCAGTGCTACAGAGCCTGTGCACTCGGCTGAGCTTCTTCGGACTCAGACTTGAGTTAGAAGAAGAACGAAGCACTACCCGTGTGCCATGATGTTGATCTGTTGTTCAAACCTCAAACCTCAATCGACGAGAAAAGCAAATTCACACTTGCTTATTACGAAGTGATCCGGGTTTAATCCCTAATGGCGCAAGATTTTCATTTTCCAACCAGTGCATCTGCTCTATGTTAAATACAGATTTTAAAAAAGTGTACCGGATAATTTACACACAAAACAAATTCGTGGATTACCTCGGAAAGGAAGGCTCTGACGGAGGAAATAAGCGAAATCATATATCGAAGTAAAGGGCTTAATTACTTACATTCTAATGGCTGTATTTGCTAGTGGACTGCCTTTTAGCTTATTCGCGGATAGCAGGATTGACTTCAACGAACCGGGTTTAATACCACAAGGCGCAATTTCTATAAGCGTTGCAGTTGTCCACCCCTTGAGCCTGAAACACTGGCTTCAACTCTCCATGTGAAATCAAGGGACCTAATTTTCATCGGGGGGAAGGAGGGAACGTCGGGAGTATGTTAGACCCGCTGCCACCTAACAAGTATGTCCTATAGGCACGCAGTTTAAGGATGCTGAAATCGGATGCGTTGGGCCCAAATGGGTAGATATCGCAGCTTAGCTGTAAACTACAACACAACGTGACTGCCAACGTTTTTGTAAAGCGAATGTAAAAATACTATTGCTTTTATTTATGAGCTTTAAAATGTAAATTTATGAAAAGTTTTGTATATGGAGTTTCCACTCCTTACCTAAAACAAAGCCCTGGTGTTCTAGTAAAATATTTGGTTCCGATCGGCTGCTAACTGTAAGGTAGGTGCCGATAACCCGAATACCCACTACAATGCTTGTGGGAAAAGCCATTATATACTGCCCATAAACAGAAAGGCAGCATTATTGCTGTTGTTATGGTCAACTTCAAACCTGTACTACAATTTTATTTTGATGATGTTTGTTACATTTAATTCGCACTTTCATTCTTTGCGACTGAAACCTCCGTTTCAGTAAGGTATATGGTCTTCTCTTATTAACCAAAGCAATGATTGGGTCCATTTATCGACGAACACAAGCATTTTTGCTCAACTGGACAGCCATTCCGTAATTTCAGCATTTAGATCCATCCGTCATCTTCTTTTTCCTCATATGATGACTTGTCGGCACCGTCGAAAAAGAGACGAATATTGACTTTTCGGGCGAATATCAAACACAAATTTCAAATTGGAGGAATTTGTGTAGTTACTCTGTACTGTGAAGTCGTAACACTCAAACTGAGTTATTTGCCCATATAATGGCTTTACCTTGCACAGTGAAAGTTCTGTTACTTGGAGCTATTGCTGTTGTTCTTAATCCCAACTGTAGTTCTCCGGACTCTTTGTGGCTAAATGGTTTACGTCGTGTTGTGAATATGATGGGTTCAATTTTAGATCCTCGGGGTTAGGTTCCCTAGCGCATGCGTTTCAAAGATCCGGTTGAACATAGCGGCAGATATCTTTTTTTTTATTTTTTTTATTTGAAATATTTTTACACACAATTTAAACAAAAAATTTTTTAAAAATCTACTCTACACCTACCTTAAAAAATAAAAAGGAAATAGTACTGCCCAAAATTATTGAACAGCTCTCTGACACAGACACCGTGGTGAGTCTACGAGCTATTGGCGCGTACTTTACAGCTGATCACAACTTGATATTTCTTTGTGTAACTTCTGACCTGCTCTGTCCACGATCTGGATAGTTCTGTGCACTCGAAATTTGTTCCGACATTCTTAGCGCAACCCTATTAAATGGGGATATATTGTTGTTTAGTCTGACACCGTTTGACTGCGCTAAAAGTGAGCAGTTTAGCGTTCGCGTGATCACAGAAGCGCGAACAGTTTCCGTCAAAATCAAACAGAGAGCACCAAGTGTAAAGTCCCCTCCCCCACCCTCACCCACCATCTTATATTCTTAACTTAAAATAATAAATCGTCGGGCGTATTTCTCGCACCCACGAGTGAAGTAAGGAAGCCGCCGTGATTTAGCGGTCAGAAGCTCGACTGCGGATCAGAATGTTCAGGTTCTGACTGAGCCAGACTTGTTTTCTTCTTCTAAAAAATGACCTTGGCTCCCAGGTCGACGGAGCCTTAAAAATGGGTAAGAAGAACCTGGAATGAGAATATCAAGAAATGGACAGGATTAAATTACTATGCACTTGTTCAACATCATCATCATCATCATCATCATCAGGTGCCTTGCCGATTGGCGTGGGCGATCATGCCTCTCCATAATCTGCGATCTCCTGCAGCATGTATCAGTTCGGGTGCCGACACACCTCCATGCAATGCAACAAGACTGTCAAGCATCTTCTCTCATTGTCTTCCTTTATCCCTTTTTCCACAGATCTTTCCAGTGGTCACAACATGTTCTATTTTCCCTCTTCTCATAACATGGCCGAAAAATCATGACTGTCTCCTTCTGATGTCTGTGATAAGTTGTCTTCGAGCTCCAGCCTCTTTCAAAACCTCTTGGTTGCTCTTTTTGGCTGTCCAAGGTATTCTAAGCATTCTTCTGTAAAACCACATCTCTGAGGCCTCTAAACATTGTTTGGCCTGCCTACAGATTGTCCAGGATTCACATCCATATGTTAAAACTGGATGTATGTAGCAAGCAAGAATTCTTTTTCTAACTCTCAATGACAAGGATATATTGCACAAGATGTTTTTCATTTTATAAAATCCAGTTTTTGCTTGTCCAATTCTGTTTCTTATCTCAGTAATGCATCTTCCATCTGATGTTATCCATGTGCAGAGATACTTAAAATTATGTACCTGTCCCAAAAATAATACCATTGACCTTTAGTACATATTTAGGAATAATTATTTTCTTTGATACCACCATTGCTTCTGTCTCCCCATTATTCAAACTGAGACCCATTCTTCAGCTTTCTACCAGCACAATGTCTCTCATCTCCTTTATTTCTTTCTGACTGGTTGCTGTGAAGACTGTGTCATCAGCATAACGTAAATTGTTTATATTGTGCCCACCAACCACATTTCCGGGCATATAAATCAATGATATCATTATATATTCACTGTATATTGAAAACAAATCAGGTGACAGTAAACATCCTTGTCGCACGCCCCTCTTTATGCTTTGAAATGTACCTAAACAGTTGTTTATTCTTATAGCTGCTGTTTGCTGCCAATACATATTCTTTATTATTCGTAGATCTTTCCCATAAATGTTTAATTTTTCTAACAGCTTGATTACTTCTTCATGCTTCACACAGTCAAATGCTTTTGTATAGTCTATGAAGCATAAGTACAAATCAGTCTTTACTTCTATAGCTCTTTCTGACAATGTCTTTAGGATGTAAATGGCATTGTTTGTACCTTTTCCTTCTACAAATCCACATTGTTCATCGCTGATTTCTGGTTTAATTTTGTTTCTTATTCTTCTCATAATTATTCTCAGTAAAATCTTAGTCATGTGACTCATAAGACTTATTGTGCGATGGTCTTCACATTTTAAAGTGCCTGGTTTCTTTGGCAGAGCCATAAATATGGATTTTAAAAGGTCATTTGGAATATACCCACTATTATAAATATCATTTAAAAGTTTAGTTATTATTTCAATTCCAAAATCTCCCAGTGCTTCGATTTCTTCCAGTGAGATGTTGTCTGGCCCGGGTGCTTTTCCTTTCTTCATATGATGTATTGCATCCTCAACTTCTGCAGTCATTATTGGTGGACCATCATTGTTGGTCTGCAGTTCTACATCTGGTCTATTATCATCATACAATTCCCCTATATACTCTGTCCATCTGTTAATTATTTTACTATGTCCCATTAATAAGTCACCATCTTTTGATTTCAAACATCCAGTGCTGTTACGTGTCATCTTTTCTGTTAACATATTTATCTGTTGGTACATGGAATGTGAGTCTTTCCTTTGATTTTCCCCAATCTCTACACATTTGATTCAGCCAGGCTTCTTTAGCCACTTTGCATTTGTTCACTATTTCTTTTTGTATTCTAGAGTATTCTTCTTTATCATTCTTTTTCTTCCTTCT